TGGGATGGCAGTGGGGGAGCTTCCTTCCAGGTGCTGGGACTGGTTGAGCACTGCCCTAGGAGCCTGGGATGGAGGCGGGGAGCTTCCTTCCGGGTTCTGGGACTGGCTCACCTTCTTGGCCCTAGGAGCCTGGGATGGCAGCAGGGGAGCTTCTTTCCGGGTGCTGGGACCGGCTGAGCTTCACCGGGAAATTTTTTTAAACATTAGATTAAAAAAAGATTCATAAATATTAACCTTAAAGTTTTAAACCTCTTGGCATAGATAGAGCAGAGAAGTAATAGCCAAGATACATTCAAAAGAACTCCTACACTTAAGTAAAAAAAAAAAAAGATGACCTGAAGATGTTAATGAGCAGTGAACAGAAGAGAAAACTGAATAGATAGCAGAGAATCACAAAGGTTTGCAGGTGTGAAAGTATTTCAGAGAAATACGCAAATTGCACTGAGGGTAGAGATTTGGGATTAAATTCTAGAGCAGAGACCACTGAATTTATTTATTTTTTGTCATTGCCTTTTATGTAAGTTTTTCATAAAATATCTATTGAGTCTTGGTTGTCAATTGGCATGTTATGTGTGAAGTTTTTAAGAGTGAGTTCCTATGGATGATGATCATAGGCTGATGGGCTTTGCCACAGAGTAATCTGGTAGGGACTAGTCCCTTACAGGAAGATCATGATCTGTTAGTGTCTCTAACCACCCTCCACTGCTTAGAACTGTTTCTTCAGACTTTAGTCCTCCAATCTTATACCTGGAGATTATGAATCTGGCTGCTAGTATCCTGGTACTAATTGAATGGAAGAAGAAAGCTGGAAAGTCTCCATTTAGTATGTTAATTTTCACCTAATTTCTTTCTTTTCAGTACAGCACAGCAGACTAGCTCCCAGTATGCCTCGTGTCCCATGTGTTATAGCCTGAGAGACCACTTAATTTAGGCAGGAGATTATAAAAATGAAAATTAGGCATTCTACTTAGTACTTAAAGTTTGCAATCTTAAGGGAAAACAATTCAAATAAATTTAGGAGCTATATAACTTACTGAAGATCTGTAAGCATGTAACTTATTTAACTGTTGTGAGCTCTTGTATGATATTTTGATTCGCTGAAAACTATGTATTTTAGACTTGATTTTATGTTGTCATAATGAAATGTAAAATGCTTATTTTTTCAGTTAATATTTAGTTACAAAAGAGTAAGCATTTAAAGACTGATGGCTATGATTACACACTCGTACTATACTCCCTACCCTGTATAGTGCTGCAGTTTTCATTCTGTGAGATTGATTTGTGTTTCAATTTATAAAAATATTTTGTTTAGATTTTCTGCTTTTATATAAAAGTAATGGGACAGTACCACACAGGTGAGTATTAAAGTAGCCTTTGTAACTGCTGATATTTACAGAATATGCTTGGCCAATAACACCTACTGTCTGCTTCGTGGTCCTACCAAGGTGACTATTTCTGGCCCTGTTCTGCACAATTGTAGTTCCAGACTTGGGGGAGAACGGAACCATGACAGTAAGGCTCTGTTGGAGGTAGGGACTCAGAGTCCCCTGGGCCTTATAAGCTCCCCTGAGGATAGGAGAGAGAGAAACCAATTGGAAAATGAATGTAAGAATGTGAATCCTATTTAACTGACATGTTGATCTCAACACTAGAAGCCAGTATTTATCATTTGGGTTTTGTTTCAATGACCACAAAATTCAGATCTTCTTAAAAGATTTTGGTGTTTAAATTTTTAAGGAAAGGACTAGAATAAAATGTTAGAAGGAAAGGTAGCTAGAGTCAGAAGGTATAAGGCTGGTCCTTTAGCCCTTGAGTGTTTTGCCCTCAGAACAAGAGGATCAAAACAGAAGTGGGGTTTAATGGTTTTATCAAATTCTGATACTATTGTGTGCTGCTATGTAAATTTTTTTTAGTATCTATTGCATACCCTTTACATTATTTTTGCTTTAATATATACCATCTTTGTAATTAAGATTCTTTCTTTGCTGAGGAAAATTACAGAGATCTGAGAAGACAGTATGGATGGTTTGTGTTTTTGTCCTAAATTTTCATAAAGGAAGAGGCTGAGCTGATAATTAAATCTATGCTGGACATTTTTATTTTTAGTAAAATGCTTTTAAAATTTCCCCTCCCCAGTTACAAATGACTTTGTCATACTACAGTCACATATATTTATACTGTAAATATGGGGGGAAAGACAATAGTTCGTCATGTTGATTGACTTTTTGAGAGTGTTAATTGTAATAATTTTTCCTTTTCTTTTTGGAAGGTGAAAGGGAGAGCCCTGTGTTTGCATTTCCTCTCCTCTTAAGAACTGAAGCCCGTGTCGAAAAGCTCTTCACATATTCTTTTTCATGGGAGTTTGAATGTTCACAGTGTGGGCACCGATACCAAAACAGGTTAGTTTTTGTTTAAAATGGATTCATTCTGTTGAAATGGTTCTGAGTGATACAATTTGAATAAAATTTGTTTGCACCTGTATCACTATTCTCACCCTGTTCCTCTAACGTTGAAAGAATTTCCCACTATATTTTTAAGTCTTTTGACCACTGTGGGTGAAAGGACATATTCGAACACCAGAAATTGCAGTTTGCTTGCTACTTTAAACTGAAAGGGTCAAAAATCCATGGTTTGAGAGATTGTTAATAGTTTTTAAAAGAATTTTAGTGTTTTCAGGTGTTGTGGTGCACAGTTATCATCCCCTCTACTTGGGAGGCTGAGGCAGGAAGATCACAAGTTTGAGATCACCCTGGGCAACTTAGAGTTTGTCTCAAAATTTTTTTAAAAAGGTAGGAATATAGCTCAGTAGTAGAGGTCTTGTCTAGCATGCACAAGGCCCTGGGTTCTATTCCCAGCACCACAAAGAAAAAGCAAAGAATTTCTTTAGTGAGGAGTGGAGACACTTTCACATTTCTTCCTTTAGTCCCATGAGAATCTTTCTGTACCTGAAGTGCTTCTGTAGGCCTTTAGGTGGAGATTAGAGAGAGAGGCCATGGTGATATGCAAGACCCCAAGATTGGCATTTGAGAGGTGACATGGTAAAAAAAGAAGGTGCGGATCTCTTTTGCCTCCATACACCTACCAAATAGGGGAGGAGTTAGGTTCTAGGAGATTATTAAACAGGGCTGGTATTCCTCAGAATGCCCTTACTTGATCTGTACCTGAGAAACTTGCTGGCTGGCAGTTAAAAGACGACCAACTGCCCCTTTGGTCATTTGTTCAAACGATTCTAATAAAGATAAATCTTTTTAACTTATCTATTAGTTAAGCCTCAACATTATGAAGTAAAAATGGGAATAAAAATATTATATAATTACTATCTAAATACAGTATGGAATTCTTTGTAGATATGTATGTATTTATTTTTGAGACAGGGTCTTGCTATGTAGTTCAGGCTGGCCTTGAACTCGCTATGGAGCCTAGGCTGGCCTTGAACTCGCTGTGATCCTCCTGCCTCAGCCTCCCAAGTCCTGGGATTACAGGTGTGCACCACCATGCCCAGCTTCTGTAGGTCTTTAAGGAGCAAAGGGAGAGTTTCCTTTAAGAGAGTGCTCTAGATCCTAGAGTCTGGGGAATGCAAGCAAGAGAAACTTTGTTTTTTAACCTGTTAAATTCAAAACTATTAGAACAGTGTGAGAATATTTTACTTACACCAGGGCTGGAGTAACTGTAAGCAAGTAATAATGAGGGCAGATACCTGTTTGCAGGTGTTCTGTCATTGATTTGTGTAAATGATCTGCTTTGCTCCTCACAATAACTCAGGAAGTATTTAGCAGATAAGGACACTAAAGCTTGAAAAGATTCAGGAGGTGCCTCTGGGAATACACTAGTAAGTGGCAGAATCAGGAGGCACAGTTTAGGTCTTCTGGCCCCTGAGGCTTGCTTTCTTGCTCCCTGTGATAAATTCCCTAATCACTATCTGGGTTTGAAATAATATAAAACAAGGTTAATGATTAGAATCAGCTTAATTATAGTTTTTCTAGAATCCACATCCTAGTAGTTTGGTAGCTTTTCATTAAGTATGTTTTGTGTGCCAGGAACTCACCTGGCCATTGGAAATAATTTTCACCCCGGCCAAATTCAGACTGCTAGTTAGGATAATATATGAACACAGAGGAGAGAGCCAGTGATTTTTGTAAGTAATTTGATCTTTGAGCTCCTTTCCATTATCTTTGCACACAGGTTGGTAAATGTGCTCTAGAGCTGTGGATAGACAAAGCTCTGAGCTCTGCAGGGGAAGAAGCCACCAGCCATTTTGTTTCCATTTTGGTTTTGTTTCTTCAAAATATTCTTTCTTTCTTCTAAAAAATAAAAACAGTAGAGAAAAGCTAAAGTGAAGCAGCATTTCATTAAATATATTTCAGTGTTATAACTTAAAAACTACTCTATAATGTGAAGGACTACCAGCCAATTCATTTGTTTTGGGGCTGCTATTTTTGTGCCAGTTGAAATGCTTTTTGCTTGGTTTAGAAAGTATAATTTGAAGGTGGTTAAAAACCTGTCTGTTGGAGGCAGACTGCCTGTATTCAGGACTCCAGTTTATCATCCAACATCTGGAGTGTCCTGTGTATTTCAGTTTCCTCTGTAAAATGGGCGGAAGAGTAGTCCCTGCCACTTAACCTTGTTTGGAAGGTGAGTGCCTAGCACTGTGCCTTGCCTTTCACATAGTGCCCAGAAAAATCAGGTGTCATGTAGTATTAACACTTGCAGAGACAACTCTTCTTTTACAAAATAAAAAATAGCCTTTACTTACAGTTATCTTTGAGAATGAAGAATTTTAGCAGAATACAAGCAATACATTTGTTGGTACCTCTGTGTGGCTTTGTATTTAAAATGTTAGCTTTCCTGAGAATGTATCTATTTTTAACAGCCAGTGCTTTTTTTTATTTGATATGTCAGTATTTTTTGTTGAATAAAAAAGAATCTTGTGTCTCTCCAGCAGTAGACAATATATATTTTAATGTATTTTATATATTAAATAAATATATAATATATTTTATATATTATATTAAATATATAATAATATATATTATATATTTAATTAATCTTTTAATTAAATATATATATTTTTAAAGTGAGTACAGCTGAAGTTCAGTGTACATCCTAAAAAATCTTTTTAGATGATTATTGCTGTCAAGCATTCAGACTAAAGTGCAAATTTAGAACTTGGATAACCTATGAAAAAGCAAAATTTTTACAGGTAGTGCTGTAATTTTTTTTTAAAGGATCAAGCAAATTAAATTGTATGAATTCCTGATTATATATTTGAAGACACACCTTTTCATTTTTGGTTGCAAGTAATGGCTAGCCAGGTTGAGTTGAATAAGAAATGAGCTCTTAAATTTGACAACCTGAGAATAGCAGATTTCAGCAGGGCCTTTATTGCCTCGGCATAGGACATTTAGCAGTGTCTGGAGACATCAGTTGCTGCAACTTGGAATTGATACTGGCATCTGGTGAGTAGAGGCCAGGGATGATGCTACACGTTCTCCAGCACACAAAACAGTGGCTCCCAACGAGGAATTTTCTAGTGCAAAATATTAGTGTGACTGTGTTGAAAAGCCCTGCCTTTCATACTTTCTTACTTCATCAGAGTTGAAAAATGAAATAGTTCATGTGGAGAATCTTTGCAGAGAACTTTCTTACCAGGGATAGGGAGGAACATCACCTTACTAATAATGGGAAAATAAGAGTATGAGTAAGCAAATGAAGGGATTGTTTTCGACATTGGTTTAAATGAATGTAAATGAATTATTTTAAGCTGTGCTTTCTACTTGTATAGGTGTGTGAAGAATCTAGTCACCTTTACAAATGTCATCCCTGAGTGGCACCCACTTAATGCTGCCCACTTTGGCCCATGTAACAGTTGCAGCAGTAAATCACAAAGAAGGAAAATGGTATTGGAAAGGTGAGTTAAAATTGCCTTGTAATTTTGCTTTTTTTTTTTAATATGTAGAATTGAAAGTGACAACTGCACTCTGCCGTTTAGAAGTGTGAGTTAGCATACACTTATGAATTGCCAGATGCTCGTCTTCATCAAGAGCTGATATCCCCAGTGGAAGTAAACTGTCTTCAGTGAAATGCCACTGGAGCAATGACTCTGGTTGTCCGACCCATCATCCTGGTGTCTTTCCTCTTTTTTCTGCCCTCACTTGTATGGATATTCAACTTCTACTATTTCCTCCAGCCAAGTGTCCAAAGTCACCAGAATTCTGAGATTTCTTTAATTTTAAGAACCAAGGCGAACCAAGGCTCATATCAGATTACTGTCTTCTCACATCTTATCCTGCAGATTCTTCATTACCTTGTAAGCTTTCTGCTACCCTTGAACAGATGTGTTTTCATGATGTTTTGCTGACTTTTCTGTTTGTCCTCAGTGGGAATGTTGGCCAGAGCGACCTTGTCCGGTTTTACCAAAGTCACTGTCTTTAAATTCACAGTCAGTTCCATCTTTAGCAGTTTGTCTTGTTAATCTACTCGCCCATGTACCTGTCCTCTTTAACATTCATTTTAAGTCTTAACTCTAAAGAAATGAAATATAGTTGGTGTAATAAAGAATTTGTGACATTAAATTCTGGTGCCCTTGAATGTGCCAGAAACTCCTCCGAATCCTTCCCAAAGTTTATTCTCACTGAAGTAATAAGTTACCTGTTAATTTAATACTGCAAAAAGGGTTGAGCGAAGGAAAAAGGGACAGTCTCCAGGTTTCTACTTCAATCAAGGTAGTATTGACTTTGACATGGCAAAGTGATGTTTTTGCTTCTGCTGTAGTGTTCTGCACTTTTTTATAGTGGTTGAGGATGAGGACGCCTTTAGTGGCACCTGGACTTCATCTCTGTTTAGCTTTTATCTGTCCTTAAAGTGGCAGTATGTTTTTGGTTAAAGCGCAGTACTCAGTGTTTGTATTATTAATGTACATGTATTTCTCCCCAGCCAAGTATTGTGCAGCACTATGTTCTTTATTCTTCCTAAAACTGTCTTGTGTTTTCATTTGCTTTTATTATTCACTGTGAATTTTTTTATAAATGGTTTAAACAGGTTCCCCCCCCCCCCTTTTGGTTCTGGAGATCGAACTTTGGACCTTGCACTTGCGAGGCAGGCAGCAGAACAACTGAGCTAAAGCCCCAGCCCCCCTACTTCTTTTTTTTTGAGACACTCTTGCTAAGTTGCCCAGGCTGCCCTTAAATTTCCAACCCTCTGTCTGACCCTCCTGAGTTGAGTGAGTGAATTACAGGTGTGTACCACCATATCCAGTGACAATTTCTAACGCTCAGATTGCTTAGGCTTTTTGACCCTCTACCTCCCCATCCCCATTTTTCCTGGAAACCTGTGTTCTTTGGACTTCCACATTTGGCTGCAATTTCTCAGCCTGCACTGGTGCCTCTCTGGGTCTGGCACATAGGAGTCCTCTTTATATGCACTGTCACTCCTGATCCCAGTGTTTATCCTGGGCCTTATCTCCGTACTCCACAATATTTATTGCCTGTAAATATTGAGTCCTTCCAGGTTCTGTGGTACAGATGAGTTCTTCTCAGTATGCTTGCTCCATAGTGCTTTTGTTATTACTTCATCTGTTCTGCTGCTTACAGTGCAATTTTTCTGCTTTCTATCTTCTAAGTATTTATTGACTCCTTATTTGTTCATTTTCTTTTCCCTTTATCTTTTTGGGCTAGTACCTGATTTGTCCTTCGTTATCATTTGGTAGCATCTGAGTGGGAGGCAAGGTGGGAAGGAAGAGAAAGTGGCTTTAACCTGGCTTTGCTATCTAGTTTCAGAGTTTTCTAAGTGGTTAGGGATCCTCACTAAAAGTCTTTTCCTTGATGAGGTAGAAGGGCAGTGGGATTTGGCCATCTGCCATCTTCCATTGGTCCATTGGATTGCTTGAGGCTTCTTGGTATATATAATTTCATCTGATGTTTATATTTGCTTTTTCTCAAGCCTCAGAATTAAGGATACATTCATTTTGTTATTTTGTTATGTGTTATTTGATTTGATTCCATTGGAACATAACACTTTAATTATACAGATACCTTGTCTTACTTGCCTTAAGGATTCATGCTGTGATCAGGAAACTGATCCATTTCAATCAAAAATGTTTTAAGTTCCACTGGGGGTGTAAAGCAAAATTTGTAATTTGGACATTTCCTGTATTCTTCAAAAGTAAATTGAATTGAATGTAAAGTTTCACTCAAATTTTAAATGACAAGATCTTTATATAAGTTCTTTATAGATTTTTACTTTGAAATTTGTATTAACTTGATTTGGTGCCTAAAGAAATTTAGAAACAATATAGTTTTTAGATATAACTTAAAAGTAATTAAACCTATCATAATACCATGAGTAATTGAATCATACAACATTTTAGAAACTGTTACAAGTTTTCTTTGTCTCAAATGAGCTCTATCTTTAATATCTCCACATTACAGAAAAAAATCCATTATTAAATCAGGTAAATGATACTGAGCAAGTCCAAATCTTCTATCCTTTTACTTGTTTAGGAATTATATTCAGAGCATGGTGATGTAGAATGCCAAGATCTTAGAATCAGATTTAATTGTGCTTCTCAAACCTTTGAAATGAACTTCTCAGTACTGCCACAGTCTCTTTTAGGGGTCTGGTCATAACCTTCAGTTTCTTTTTGTTTTTTGGGGGGTTTTTTTTGGTACCAGGGATCAAACTCAGGACCTTGCCACTTGCGAGGCAGGCGGCGGAAACCTTCAGTTTTAACAGTGTTTTTTGTTTTTTTTTTTAAGCAACTACTGGAGTGGTAGGCTATGGTAATTGAACTTACTCAAGTGCCTCATTTTCAGGCTTTCATTTTTTAAGAAGATAAACCACACCATCCCCTACAAATGTTGGGCAGAATATTGATATATAAAATAGTTTAAGTTATATTTGGTAATTTAAGTTTTCATTGTTTGACAGAAAATGCTTTATCATTTAATATAAGGTTTTTTTAACTTCCAAAAAAAGTTTGTAAACCTGTGTTGAATAAATTGTTCTAATCATACATTTACTTACTACAGTTAGTATGATAAGTCCAGTTATTTGAATGGGTTATTTTACTCATATTTTCATTTCTTGTCAGAGTCTGACATAGTTGAAATGATATAATAGACCTTAAAATGTAATGAAACTTAAAAATTACATTGGCAGATATTTTTCTGCCAAAGGCCTACCTTATTACTGTTCAGATGTGCATAACATTCACCTTGATAAATTTGCATGTTCTGAAATAATGGATTATCACATATTTGGAATGAAAATAAAAGCATGTACTCCAGGCCATTTGCACAAGATGTGGCTGTTTGTGGTATGGAGGCTAGTTCCTGTTGCCTTTGGAAAGCTAGTGTTAATGTCTCTTTATGCTTTTTTTCTTTCCTTCAATATTGATGGCACGGTATAGTTTAGTGGTACATTTTATAATCATGACACCTTGGATTCATCTAAAAAAATATAAAAAAGTGATGGGAAAGAGGTCAGTGTTACAGTTTCTAGGACTTTGTAGGTTTTAAAATTTTGAGGACTTGATTTTTCTCTAACAAAATAATTAACAAAGAGTATTTACAAATTACTCCTTGTCTGAACAATCTTCCATTGTGGACATTGATTCAAGTTTATTTCAGCTGAATAAATTTTGATAAGTATGTTAAGTTTTGACAGCTGTTTAAATATTAGGAAAAGGAACACTCAACATTTTTCTTAAATCCTGAGAGCTTTGTTAAATTTGAGTCCCATCTCTGGGTTCTGTTTTCTGGTTTGATATGTCACAGTAATGGTGAATTGTATTTTTGAAATTATGGACATCTTGAAATTAATAACATATCAACCCAATGTTTTATTTTCTTCTGTACTTAGTTATAAATTAAACTTTTCATAGATCGAAATCTTAATAGACCTCTCTACTTTTTACCAGAGAGAAAAAGGTCAAATTAATGTTCATTTGAATATCTTAGGCTTATTACCTTGTTTTTACATATAACTTACCCCACCTAACAGTTTGGGCACTTGAGGCCAAAGAATTCTGGAAGATTTGGACTTTTTCCTTTGAATTCTACAAAATAGCTATCATGAGATCTTTAAGTCAAAACATTATTGCTGCTTACAGAGCAATTTTTTCTTTTATGGTCTGTAGTCTTATTGCATGAGGCTTCCAGTTGTCATTGATACTATTCCAAAAAGGTTTAGTGTTACATACTTCGTAGAGTGAATTCTCCATTTCTAATTAAGGCACGCATCTGGAGATCCTCAAGAAGAATTCATCTAGTTAGTCTAATTCACTTCAGATCAATGTTTTGTATAAGCAGACATATGGCATTAAATTTGACTTCTCTTGCCTTCTCCCCTAGAATGTCTCCCATATTCATGTTGCACTTCGTAGAAGGTTTACCACGGAGTGACTTGCAGCACTATGCATTTCATTTTGAAGGCTGTCTTTATCAAATAACATCTGTAATTCAGTACCAAGCAAATGATCATTTCATAACATGGAATTTACATGCTGATGGTAAGTGTTTAAAATGTTTTTGAAATAATAATAGGCGTGGAAACCAAATACTAGTGGATTTTTTTTTAAGATAAATTTTGCCTTGTCTTATTTTCTCTCTATTCTTTTTTCTCCCCTGTATCAGGAATCGAACTCAGGACCTTGTGTTTGCCAGGCAGGTGCAGTGCCACTGAGCTAAATCCCCAGCCCTTTTCTCTCTATTCTTGTCTTTGCCTTTAATTCTTCTGCCCCTCTCTCCCTCCTATTAAAAGTTTGGTGGGTTTAGTATCCTTCCTAACTCTTGCATCATGTATCTATAGGTCTATGCATTATATATATATGTGTGTGTGTGTATATATGTATGTATGTATGTATGTCTGTATATATTTTAGACAAAGGATGAAATCATATACTGCTGTTATGCAGTTTGCTCTTCACTTAATATTTTTACTGTTATAAAATTGCATGTGTAGTAATATATGTCCAATATAGAAAAATGAATGGTGGGAATTTTAATTTTTTAGATACTTTATGCTTTTAAATGGGAAGTACATCAAACTGAAGCCTTTTAATCGAGAACAACAAAAATAAATTTTGTTTAGTTGGCTATTGTAAGTATAAACAAAATTTTGTTTTGTTTTGTTTTGTTTTGAGACAAGGTCTCGCTATGTAGTTCAGGTTGGACTTGTGTTTATGTGGTCCTCCTGCCTCAGCCTCCCGAGTTCTGGGATTACAGGCATGCGCTACCATGCCCAGCAAATTCTGTGTTTAAGACTATTAAACATTAGACTAGCTCTTCTGTCACTGAAGTAGAATCTGAAATCATAGTTTGCTAACAGATACGGTCACGGTAACACCTTTCCTTAAGCTTCTCAGCAGAAGGCTGAATAAATACAAATACAGTCCATGGGTTTTGGGGATTTTTTTCCCTTCTATTTGTTCTGTATGGTTTAATGCTGACTTTGTTTCCTCAGTGTTCTCTTGTCTTAGACAAGATAATTTGTCTTCTTAGAGCGGTGATGGCAAACCTTTTAGAGACTGAGTGCCATACTGCAACTCAGAACCCACTTATTTACCACAAAATGCCAACCCAGCAATTAAACCTGAATATTGAGGTTTTAGTTTAGAAACAGCAACTCATATATTAACACCTTTTCTCTTAAAAACACAGTAATGTGCAAGCCATAGATAAGTCACCACTGCCTTAGAGTGTCGTATCAGGCCCTTAGTAAGGGGCTATCTTGATATAACCATTTTCTGTTGTTTGGGTACTTTGCATATTTGATATTTTCCTCCTGGGGAGGTTTGGATGGATGATACAATACTATACTTTGAAAGGCACTTTTCAAACTGAAACACATTGTAGTGTAATTATTACCTTGAAGTTTTACCCTATATCAGAATTTGGGAGGAGATAAATTCTTAATAACATGCCAAAATAAAAAACTTATTTCAACTTTTGTTGCACTCCAGGGAATGTAAAATACATTTCAAGTACAGCATAATTTCCAATCCTGATAGCATATATAAGAATTCATTTGGTTAACTTATAAAAATGTCCAGACTGTACCACAAATCAACAAATCAGTCTTAGGGACTAGGCCAAAATACCAATATTGTTTTAAAGTTCTCCAGATGTGTTCGTGGTAGAAAATAATTGATATAGGCAAACTAAAAAAAAGTCCAGAGTTTTAGTGGATATAAGATAGTAGATTCAAGAAGTGTGTATCCACATAAAACACAAAATTTTTGAATGGCTGTGTTTATATGTATGGACGGGTAGCAGATCTGAACTATCAGACTTAACTGTCAGAATCTGTATTTGTTGTGTGATCTGTGTACTCAATTTACTTTGTTTATATCAGATATTATACTTTAGTAAACATTTAACTCTAGTTTTTAATTTTTTCTTTAGGAAAAGTTTTTTTTTTTAATATGTTGAATCTTAGACTTGTTTATTGTTCTCATTTAATACTTAGAAATTGACTAGTCTATTAGCAGCTAAATTGGCCAGAAGTAGCAGGTGAGGGAAGGTATTTTTCTCCTTTAACTTCCCTGTTCAAAATTAGTCCCGTATAGGATGCCTGAAGCCTGTGACAGATAATAGCTTTCTCAGCAGTAAAAAGTGAGTAGGATGGATATACTACATCCATATAAGCTGTGAGTTGTTTCTGTGTGCTTTTTATAACAATCTATGTTTTTTCGTTTATTTGTTTGTTTTTTGGCACCAGGGATCGAACTCGGACCTTGTGCTTGCGAGGCAGGCGCCAGAACCACTGAGCTAAATCCCTGGCCCTGCAGTCTATGTTTTAAAAAGGGTAGATGCTTGTGTACAAGGAATATGGAAAGGAACTTGTAGTGCACTTTGTATGCTTAGGTGTCTGTAAACACTTTTGGCAATGTTAAAGAATGCTGTATTGATTGTCTCTTCTCTACTGCTAAAACAATGTTGCCTAAAATACTGCACTCCCTTGAAAAAAGAGTGGTTTGGGTTCTCATTACTGTAATTGAAGGAATACAAAATATTTTATAGTTCACACGGTGATGTTTAACATGGTGCTTTATTAATTTACCACATTTAATTTCGTAGAAATTGCTACCTGTTTGCTAGGCCAAATTTCTCATGACGTTTTACTTTTTGTATCTTTTTTTTTTCCTAAATATATAGATAACTGACACATACAGTGGGGATCAGTAATAAAAGCACAGATGCCTGTTGATTATCGGAAAGCTGTTACTCATCCAGACCTATAGTTAGCTTTTCTCAAATTGTCACATGGTAGTAAGCAAAATATAAACACAACTTTCTTTAACCCCCACCAGCTGTCATCCTCTAGCCATATTCCTTTACTTCTCAACTATGTTTTTTGTGTGTATTTTTTATTGTGCTAATGTATTCATAAAATTTACCATTAATATTAGGTTTGTAATTCATTGACATTAAAGCTTTTTACATCTATCAGTGTGTAGAACTTTTTCATCATCCCAAATTGAAACTACTCATTAAGCATTAACTCCCCATCTCCCCCCCATCTCTAGCTTTGGTAATCACTCTTCTACTTTGTGTCTCTGACTTTGACAATTCTTAGGTACCTCTTTCAAGTGGAATCATACAGAATTTGTCATCTTGTCTCCTGTTTTATTTAGGATATTTTCAGGGTTGTTTTTACATTTTAGCTATTGTGAAGAGTGCTACTGTTGGTTAACAGGGATCTGGGTCTTGTTTTCAGTTCTTTTGGATATATACCTACAAATGGAATTACTAAGTCTTACAGTAATTCTGTATTTAATTTTTGGAGGAATGGCTAGACTGTTTCCACAGCTTCTGTACCATCATATTCCCATCAGCAGCACACAAGCAGTTTCTCTACATCTGCCAATATTTTTATTTATTTTTATTTAATAGGAGCTATCTTAATAGGTGTCGTTTTTTTCCCATCTAAGGAATAGTTTAAGCAAGTAACTTCCTTACTCCTCCTCGTTTTTGCTTCACTCAGCTACGGAATGACTCCTCTTCCTACCACATCTCTGAAATTGTGCAGGCAAAAATAACTGCCAATAAGCACACTACTATAAGTAATGGACTTCACAGATTTTTTTTCTCAGTGCTTCAGTGTTTTGATACTGTAGAAAATATCCCTAGTCTTTAAACTTGTCCCTTGTCATTTGTCATCTCATTCCTGCTTGATAAATGAGAAGACAAACTCAGAAATAGGAATTGAAACAAATTTTATTGGTACTTGAGATAACAAACTTCATTGTATTTTGAAAATTGATACAGATGAAGCAACTTACTCTATTTTCTGATATTGGATAAATTTGGTGATAGTATATTCTAAGACCCAAAAATTAAATGTAGTTTGTCCTGATTTTTGTGGGTATTTTAGAAGAGTGTAAACTGTCCAGAAAACTACTCCGGTTTTTCAGATTTCTTCATATGTTAGTCTAAGGACTTTAACATTTGGCAGGGAAGAATGGTGACAAGGAAAAGGCCATGGGTTAGTTAGTGTTCTTCTTTGATGTGTATTCAGTAGTCCAGCAGATTCAAAGGCCAGAAGTGGACCTAGGATGGTGGCTTGTGAAGGTCTAACCTCTGACTTTCTTTATCATCCCCCAGGAAGTTGGCTGGAATGTGATGACCTAAAAGGTTTATGTGCTCAAAGGCACGAGAAATTGGAAGTTCCCGCTTCAGAGATACATATTGTTATCTGGGAAAGAAAAACATCTCAAGCGACAGATGAAGAAGCTGCCTGCCTTCCACTTAAGAAGACTAATGATCAGCCTGCTTCCAGTGAAGAGAAACCAGCATCTCCAGCATTGCATTCTGTGGGTCAGGCTGCCTCAGCAGGAGCGACCTCGGTCATTCTACCCACATCTCTGACACTTGCTCCTCATACTCTTCCACAGGACAAAGCTGTGGCTCATGAAGATTGCATACTTTCAGATCCAAAAGTTTGGGTTGACAATAATATTTTACCTCTGACACTTCAAGGAACTGTCTGGAAAACTGCCTCAGTTTTTCAGGTTAGCACTGAAGCATTCCTACCAGAAAACATGCCTGTGGCAGAAAATAAAGAATTTGTCAAAACAAACACTTTGCAATCTCAAAAATCACCAGTGTCTTCTTCACTGTCAGCTCCGTGTAAAGAAAAGCTTATCCAAGCCCAGTTCATGGATTTAAGTTTCCCATTGCAAATTGTAAATACAAACACACAGTTGGTACAGCTGAGTACAGAAGATACTGCAGTTACTCAGCCTGAGAATAATACTTATGTTGCTGGTCTTATACAGGGAATAAAGTCAGTGGAAGTTGAAAAGGATACTCAGTTAAAACAATCTGTTTCATGGAAAACTGAGAAATTAGAACCAGAACAGCCTTCTATATCTCAGGTATCTAATTTGAAGAAAAAAGCTACAGCAGATCCACATTCTGTGACAGCCAGCTCATCACAGAATCAGCCCCTGAAAGAAAATCAGAAGAAACCCTTTGTGGGAAGTTGGGTTAAAGGCCTGCTAAGCAGGGGTGCTTCTTTTATGCCGTCTTGTGTTTCAGCTCATAGTAGAAACACTGTAACTAATTTGCAGCCTTCAGTTAAAGGGGCAAATAATTTTGGTGGCTTTAAAACTAAAAGTATAAAGCAAAAGACTAGCCATGTATCTAAGAAAGCTTGTAGATCTGCAGATAAGTCTTCTGCATTCAGCAACCCTCCACCAGGTCTTCCACTGTCAGAGAACACAGCTGCTCATTCACATACAAATGAGAATGCTGCTTCAGAACTTCTGAAGAAGCGGGAAAGCACCTCACATGGCGCTTACCTCAATCACCCTTCTCACAGAAGGGAAAATGGGACTTCTTCAGCAAACCATGGAGACTCAGCTGAAGGTCAGATTCATAAGCTTCGTCTAAAACTTCTTAAAAAACTAAAGGCCAAAAAGAAGAAGTTAGCTGCTCTCATGTCTTCCCCTCAAAGTGAAACACTTCCTAGTGAAAATTTAGAACATGGGCCCCCTTGTGAGTCTCCAAATGATTGTGAATCAATAGAAGATTTGTTAAATGAACTGCAGTATCAGATTGATATTGCAGATAGTAAGTCTGGATGTGCCACTATTTCTAGTATGTCCTCATATAATAATCAAACTCATGAAGAAATTTTAGCAGAATTGTTGTCTCCTACAAGTATTTCAACAGAGTTCTCAGAAAATGGGGAAACTGACTTTAGGTATTTGGAAATGGGAGACGACCATATCCCAGCCCCAAAACCTACTGAATTAATTGATAATTCCCAGAACATACAACTGAAACAGGAGCATAATTATTGCAGCCCCCCCAAGAGGAACCAATGTGAAGTTCAGCCAGTCTCACAAATAAACAATGCCTGTGTAAGGACATTAAACTTGGAGAGCCCCATGAAGACTGATATCTTTGATGAGTTTTTTTCTACTGCATTAACTTCTTCAGCAAATGACACTTTAGACTTACCTCATTTTGATGAATATCTGTTTGAGAATTATTGAATACTTGTTAACTTTTTAGTTCAATATTTATTATTGCTGTTAGAAAAACTTAACTATGTTTTCAGGTGGTGTTTATACACTGTCCTTGTAATAACCATGAATGAAATTTAAGCTGCTGAAAGTTTACCTTTGGTTCTGCCCATGAAGCATGTAACCTGTTATACAAATGAAAATAATCAGGAATTGTTTTCTCCTTATTGATTTCATTTTGTGGTAAAGTACTTGTAAGGAGAATGAGGATTTCAGATGTTAAAGATGAAAAAATGTCTAGTTTCTAACGATTTGTACAGCTGGGTGCATTAAATTTCTGGATTTTAAGTTGTGATTATGTTGCTCAAGAGTAACTATAGTTTATACCGACAGATTGTGCTATAAAACATGATTGTGTGACAGTTTTGCTTCTGGTTCTGTGGTCTTACATAAGAGCCTAAGCCTTTTTCTTAGCCCAGTATGGTGCTTCCTCAATGCCACTTGCCTCTTTTTCTCTCCTTACAAAGGATGTCAGGAAACTATTACTACAACTCTGAGTAATATTAAATGATCAATACATGATCTGTAAAAAGAAAAAGCAATCTCTTTGTGAAGGTGTACAAAGTGTTGCATGTTGTCATAAATACCATCTTTCTTTTTCTTTTTTGGTACCGGGAATTGAACTCAGGACCTTGCGCTTGCAAGGCAGGCAGTGGCACCACTGAGCTAAATCCCTGGCCCTTAAAATACCATCTTTCCTTTTAAGACATCTGTAACCAAAGTGAGATTCCAGCTAACAGTTCTATGGGGGAGAATAACCAATGCTTACAAAGCTTGCTACATGTTGGATTCCATTATATATTAAATGTTAATTCATTTAAAACTCAACATTCCTATGAGTGAGATGCTTTTATCACATTTTACAGATAAAACTACATAGCTGGTAAGCTGTAGAGCAGGGTTTGAGTAGAAATGGTTACCACAGATATGTTGAGCTTGTCACTCCTTGTTCTAAAGTTTGGATCCCCAAACAGCATCACCACTGTAGTGATTTGAATAGGTTTAAGAATGGGAGTCAGTGATAAAATATCTTTACAGGAACTCAATATTTAATAACTTGCCAAATTTATCCCCAAATTTATCCTTTTTTTGATTATAAAGGTAATATATATTCCGTGGGAAAACTTGAGTTTTGAATCATCCCAGTGATAATTAGTGCAAGCATTTTTATGTATTGATGCACAGACTTAAGAATGAGATACACCTATTTGTATGATGTTTTTCCTTACTATTTAGTATTTTTCCATGTCTTGTTCTGGATACCTATTTTAGTGATGCCATACATGTATGGATAACTTGTTTTACTAATTTAAGATTCTGAGATGATGTATATGTACTCTTCTGTTACTGTTCCTTGTGCGGCAGTAATACTTTGTAAATTTCTGCACAGATCCAGGTTTTATTGTTTGGAATTGAAATCGCTAGATCAATGAATGTGTACACTTTTAAAGTTTTGTTTGAGATAGGGGTCTTCTTGGTAAATTGCCCAGGTAAACCTGGAACCTCAGTTTCCCGAGTAGCTGGAATTACAAGCCTGCTCCCCACCACATCCAGCCCTTAAAGTCTTTAATGATGGATTGCTTGACTCTCCTGAACCCTCACCAGCTCGAGGTAATGATACTGGAGGAACAAAGAAGAAACCAGCCTCGACTTTTTGTTTACATTTCCAAGTTTATTATTGAGGTTGAACATTTTTTGTAACTATTAGTTGAATTTCTTTTAAAGAATTACTTGTTCATCCTTTGTTTATTACAATTGAACAAGTGTTTTTAGATTACTGTTAAGGGTTTAGCACTATTGTAGATCTGAGATAAGACAGGAAAATAAATTTTTACACTTTGAAGAATTTGTCTTCTAAACGAGATGACATGTTAGGTGGTAGTAGAAGGTATACATACAATTCTTGGTATTTTTGGTAGTCATGAGCAAAGTCACCATGAAATCCTAAAATAGGAAATACTAAACCTTTGTTGCTAGGGTTAATACAGTGTTAGGTTCTTGTGAGCCTCTAATCACATCTCTATATCTTTCCTCTTCCTCTTCACCTTCCTTTCTGTACTAAGAATTGAACTCAGGACCTTGTGCTTGCCAGGCAGGCATTGTGCCACTGAGCTACATCTCTGGCCCTAATCACATTTTTCTGAACCAGTCAGTAACTATGGCCCTTTTTTTGTGTTTCTGTTCAAAGATAACTTATTTAGGTCAAGGTTTTTGTTAACTGTCTTTAAGATGGAAGATGTCATAATATGCTCCTATGTGTTTGTGAATATCACCTGGAGGGAAACATGTAGATGAGAATCAGCAGTTGTAGGAGCAGATTCTGTAGGGATGGGATCCAGTGTAGAAGAGGTGTGACCTTAAGGGCCAGAAAAATTTATTTTAATATGAGGAAAGAGTACGTAGTTACAGACATTAGGAAACTGGTGAGAAAAGAACGAAAAAGGTGCCGTCTGCTTATTTTCTCAAGGAAACAAATGGATCCATTGTGTGAAGGAAGGAGTTGAAGAGAAATTTGCTGAACTAGTTTCAGAGCGAGGACAGCTAATCCAATAGGGCCATTCAGGAAACCCATTGGGTATTTAGGGTCTTACATTTAACTGAGATCAGCAAAGATGGGGGGGGGGGGTGGACTTTTGTTTTTTTTGTTTTCTCCAGTGTAGCTGCTCAGGTGCCTGTCAGAGTGCCGAATGTGGGAAGCTGGATTTATCCATAGTAGACAGAGGCAAAAAACAAGGGTTTTATGCATGGACAATGCTGTAGTTTGGATCTGGAATGTCCCCCAAAGGCCTGTGTACTAAATTCTTGGTCTCCAGGGACGCCATACCAAGGGTGCGAGCCGCGCGGAAGACACCGAATCAGCCTGCGCCCTGGCAGCAATCCACTGGACAACCCCCACCCCACCCCACCCCCGCCTCCTCTGGCCTCTTCTCTGTACAGCCACCTGGTTCCACACTACAAAGATGCAGAGGACACCGGACCACCAGACCACTGTACTGGGTAAGTTGGAGTCATCTTCACCTCCCATCAGGACCGGCACTATCTTCAGGGGAAGGGCAGCTGGAACCTGAAATACAACTCTGCAGGATCCAACCCTACAGGAGGACAGGGAGCTCAACTTGGGACTGGCAGTCAGAAATCTGCCTGAATCTCATGGGTCTGCAACTAGCTTGCTGAGACTCATTGACTTTTATCTTCATAGTGCTACCCACATTGTCTACTGTGCCAGCAGAAACATACCCTGAAAGAGGGCTTTCATCTTCTTTGTTATTTTTTATTCTCAAAATTAGAATTATTAGTTTTGTTTCTTTTCTCTTTTCTTTTGCTCCTCTTTAATTTTTTTCTCTACTCTTTGCAAATATTTGTTTTTCTCTCCTTTTTTTCCTTTTATTCTTTCTTTTCTCTTTCCTTTCTCTCTCTCTTACACTCACTCTCTTCCTCTCCCACATTGTTCATCTTCCCTTTTTGTCCTCATTCGGAGTTCTTCTTTATTTTCCTATTATTCTCTTTTTCCTTCTCACCTGTGTCCTCTGGCCACACTGCTAACCTTCCCCTATCCTTCTTCCCATCTGTCCCTCCCTCTCCAACCCCTTCTAACTCCCCATCCCAAAGGGTAAAGTTGTTATATTGAAGAGTTTATTCACTATATGTTGGGATGGTCCTCAATCTTGATTTAAATCACACAGCTAAAGGTGATAGATTAATAACGACCACAAAATGCCATTTTCAGAGATGTACTTGATACAATGGTGTTGCTGATTGTATCACTTGGGCTAAGGTGTGGGTATTGATCTAGTCAATGAACCTTCCTAGTATAAGGAAACTGAGATAGCCTTAGAGTCATTAGAGACTCAAAATTAAAAGACCAGTTATATCTGGAAGACACCTCTGAGAAGCAATCATTCCATAAGAGTTCTAATTACAAGTAACAAAGGTATCTACAATAAGCAATTGCAAACTATCAACCCAGGAGTTAAACCAAGGACAGTACCAAAAACAAAAGATGAGAAGACATTTAAGCAAGGCACAAACTCAGACTTTCACCCCACCAAGGGTAAATCCTGGGGGAAATGAGATGGAAAAGTCCCATAACCAATCACCTGGATACCCTGAACTGATAGCACAGGAAGTAACAAAACAGATGAATGAGGCTCTAGAAAAATTCAAAGAAATAATCTCCCAGATATCCACAGAGATGGTGAGCAGAGGGAAAGACATGATTAGAGGATCTAGAACAGAAACAGATAAAAAAATAGATGAGCTCAGAAACATGCTGGAAGCCAAGAATACCCAGCATAAGAAAGAAATGGAAACCATGATTGCCCAACATAGGAAAGAAATGGAATCCACGAAACAGATTCAAACAGATATTCAGGAGATCAAAAACTCCATTGAAAGTATCCACAGGAGATTAAGGGAATCTGAAGATAGAATATCAGATATAGAAGACAGGATTGCAGTTAGAGATCATGAAAATAGAGATTTCTTAAAATTAGTAAGGGACCATGAGAAATCAATCCAACAACTGCTAGACGATGCAAAGAACAATAACATAAGACTGATAAGACTCCATGAAAAAACAGTAGAAAGCACAATTGACATAAAAAAAAAAAAACTGTTCTCAGAAGTAACAGTGGAAAACTTCCAAGACAGAGGTAGAGAATTGGACATACAGATAAGTGAGGCATATAGAA